TAGAAACTGTACTTGTGGTCGATCTCGAACCCATTGTTGATGTGACGACTTATATTGAATTTTGTAACTAGCTCATCAAGATTATAACTTGCTTAGCTGAATGAGTTGTGGGGTTGAGTCCCTGAGCCCATTATGTGCCTCTGTAACCGTTTCCACCACCGCCCACAGGATGGGTATGGGGGTGCATAATATATCAACTAAACTAACGTACTATTGTTTCAGGAGGATGGGTTGCGTGTGCGCATGTGCACGTGTAGGATTCTGGGAAGGGTGTGTGTAACAGTCGTCTCAGATGAAACTCCTGCCGAGATGCATGTACATATTTGCTCCTTCAAGGTCATGCAAAATGCCATCTATATGTTTGAGAAAGGAAAATGTATATTTATTTTTTTTTAATTCAATAGACGGACGAGTTATCTGTAACTCTTATTGATGACACAGGCTAAGACCCTTTCGCTGTAGCAATGAGACGGGAAGGTTATAGTCATGAAGGGTGTCATATTTACCGTATAGGAACGCTCCTGAGCTAGGCTGTGGCAACACCACCGGCCAGAAGGAAAGCGAGGCACTACACCCACCATGTGTCTCAGTAGTGTGGCAACCACGGCCGGGAGAGGCTGTTGCACCTGTCGCGCCTGCAACTTTCACTCGCTATTCTTCCTCTTACTCTCACAGGAAGAGAAATTAAACGCTGGTGAGTACAACTGTCTCCAACCATGAGTACTGTTCTTGGTTCCCATTCTTAAACTACCGGGAAGAAATGTGATACTTTGACTTTAGTTTTATGACTAATAAGCATGGAAGATGAAGTTAAACCACAAGCAGACGAGAATGCTTGCGTCGCCTCGTTCTCTTTAAGAACCTCTTGATAGCTTTCCTAGTCGAGTTCAAATTAGCATTAAATAAAACATTTTATTGCAGCAAAGATGTTTTATGTTTTCAAGGCAGCCAATGTTGCTTGGTCTGTAATGACTGGCCGAGAGTTCCCGTATCTTTGGGGGTTTCCCATGGAGGCCCCGTTATGGTATAGTGGTCCTGGAGGCCCCGTTATGGTATAGTGGTCCTGGAGGCCCCGTTATGGTGTAGTGGTCCTGGAGGCCCCGTTATGGTATAGTGGTCCTGGAGGCCCCGTTATGGTGGTGTGGTCCTGGAGGCCCCGTTATGGTGTAGTGGTCCTGGAGGCCCCGTTATGGTATAGTGGTCCTGGAGGCCCCGTTATGGTGGTGTGGTCCTGGAGGCCCCGTTATGGTGTAGTGGTCCTGGAGGCCCCGTTATGGTGGTGTGGTCCTGGAGGCCCCGTTATGGTGTAGTGGTCCTGGAGGCCCCGTTATGGTGGTGTGGTCCTGGAGGCCCCGTTATGGTGGTGTGGTCCTGGAGGCCCCGTTATGGTGTAGTGGTCCTGGAGGCCCCGTTATGGTGTAGTGGTCCTGGAGGCCCCGTTATGGTGGTGTGGTCCTGGAGGCCCCGTTATGGTGTAGTGGTCCTGGAGGCCCCGTTATGGTATAGTGGTCTTAGAGGCCCCGTTATGGTATAGTGGTCCTGGAGGCCCCGTTATGGTGGTGTGGTCCTGGAGGCCCCGTTATGGTGTAGTGGTCCTGGAGGCCCCGTTATGGTGTAGTGGTCCTGGAGGCCCCGTTATGGTATAGTGGTCCTGGAGGCCCCGTTATGGTGTTGTGGTCCTGGAGGCCCCGTTATGGTATAGTGGTCCTGGAGATCATACTGAAGTTCAGTAGTACTAGAGGTAAACTGACAGAAGCAATACCAGCTTCAGACCATGGAAGCGAGCCGCTTCCCTCCTACTGGATGTTCGTACAATATTTGGGCTCCGTTCTGTACACCATTAACCAGGTCGTTCCACAAGATCTTGTCAAGGGCACTGAGGGCAGAGGGTCGAGTCTGTAGAAATCTTCGTGCACATTAACATATACGGGTATCAACCGTGGCTTTATTTACAGTTACTTTACGATGGAACCACTTTAGCGTGCCCAATGTACTTGTGTTGTATGAATACATTATTCTAGAAATTTATTATTATTTGTATTGAGAAATTTACTATAGTGCTGCAGTGCCTATAATGCAGGTGAATGAAAGACCTTCATTCACTTTCACATTCATCTCATGGTTAAGTGTATTCAAAACCAAGCTTTTGAATGTAGCCTACATCCATTCTCAAGGTTCTGAATACAATATGAATTTTGTAGTCAGTACTTTGAGAAGGGATGTAGATTACACCCGAAATTTTGGTTTGGAATATAGTACACTTAAACATAAATTGGTTCTTTCATTCACCTTTATTATTATTAGGCCGATGATAACAATTACTTTACTATGGAACCTTTTATATATATATATATATATATATATATATATATATATATATATATATATATATTATATATATATATAGTTAAGGTGTTTATAGGTTTGCAGTCTCAAGTAGTCAGGTGCTAAACACGCTGCTCAGGCACGGGTTGAGTAGTTTCGTCGTTGTTAAATTCACTTGCGTGGTCGTGCATGGCGCCGCGAAGCCGTGCTTGGCGCCGCGAAGCCGTGCATGGCGCCGCGTGGTAGCTTGCCTAACCACAGTATCTAGACCAACTAACCTTACTCAGTTTACCGAAGGACCACTATCTAGTAGCGTTGATGAGGACAGGAAGCCGGCGTACTTAGCCCTCGATCATATTAAGGTGTCGTGTAATGACGGAGGTGCTTGGTGAGGTGTTGGGTGGTTGGTGGCCACGCCTCTCCCTGCTTGTGGTGGTCACCTCACACACCCGCCCCCCGGCATCCTGCTCCCGCCCCCTTCCCACATCTCTCCCCCCTTCCCACATCTCTCCCCCCTTCCCACATCTCTCCCCCCCCTTCCCACATCTCTCCCCCCTTCCCACATCTCTCCCCCCTTCCCACATCTCTCCCCCCTTCCCCCCTTCCCACATCTCTCCCCCCTTCCCACATCTCTCCCCCCTTCCCACATCTCTTCCCCCCTTCCCACATCTCTCCTCCCCTTCCCACATCTCTCCCCCCTTCCCACATCTCTCCCCCCTCCCACATCTCTCCCCCTTCCCACATCTCTCCCCCCTTCCCACATCTCTCCCCCCTTCCCACATCTCTCCCCCCCCCCCCCCCCCCTTCCCACATCTCTCCCCCCCCTTCCCACATCTCTCCCCCCCTTCCCACATCTCTCCCCCCTTCCCACATCTCTCCCCCCTCCCACATCTCTCCCCCCTTCCCACATCTCTCCCCCCTTCCCACATCTCTCCCCCCTTCCCACATCTCTCCCCCCTTCCCACATCTCTCCCCCTTCCCATATCTCTCCCCCTTCCCACATCTCTCTCCCTTCCCACATCTCTCCCCCCTTCCTACATATCTCCCCCTCCCCCCTTCCTACATATCTCCCCCTCCCCCCTTCCTACATACCTCCCCCTCCCCCCTTCCTACATACCTCTCCCTCCCCCCTTCCTACATACCTCCCCCTCCCCCCTTCCTACATATCTCCACCTTCCTACATATCTCCCCCTCCCCCCTTCCTACATATCTCCCCCCCCCCCTCTTCCTACATATCTCCCCCTCCCCCCCTTCCTACATATCTCCCCCTCCCCCCTTTCCCACATCTCTCCCCCCTTCCCACATCTCTCCCCCCTTCCCACATCTCTCCCCCCTTCCCACATCTCTCCCCCCTTCCCACATCTCTCCCCCCTTCCCACATCTCTCCCCCCTTCCCACATCTCTCCCCCCTTCCCACATCTCTCCCCCCTTCTCACATATCTCCCCCCTTCCCACATATCTCTCCCCCTTCCCACATATCTCCCCCCTTCGCTCACTCCCCTTCCCACCTTTCACCGAACCCGTCTCCTTCCCCCGGCCAAGGGTATTATAATACGGGAAATTCGATCCCTCCCTAGTCACAGCCCCGCTCATGTGCCAGGCACGTCCACTAACGGGTTCACCGTAGCCCGTGCTACTTGCAACTTTATGTTCCCAGTAGCTTAATCTAAAACAACAGATCCGGACTTTTACGGGCTACCACCTCGTGGGCGGCTTAATCTTCACCAATCAATCAATCCGGACTTGATTAAGGTCTAAGCGCCCCCCCCTTGAAAGCGTAGTGGCGTTGGGTTACCAGCGTTAGGGCTCACCTATACACGGCGATATTCAGGTAAATACGCCTGTTGTGTATAGGAACTGTTGCAGTACTTGGGTTGTATTGGGTTTAGCTGGCCTAGCCGGGCAAACTGTCTGGCCCAGACCACCCCCCACCCCCCTGCTCGCTCGCTTGCCCTGGAACAATATATTTATACCGAAGAATTTTTACATTGAAAGCTCTGTTTTATCCGAGAAACCTATCACGGTTTGCGTTGATTCGCCAGGGGTGGTGTTCACGGCACGTGATACAGGGGTGGGGTTCACGGAACGTCGTCCCTTCACCTTCTAGTGTGTGTGTGTGTGTGTGTGTGTGTGTGTGTGTGTGTGTGTGTGTGTGTGTGTGTGTGTGTGTGTGACTCTTGACATCACATCATGATGTCTTTACGGTCTTCACGAATGCATTGTAAGCGTATTTAGTATTAAATACTAAATACGCTTAGTATTTTGTATTATTCAGTAAATAACGTTTTGCCAATATTAGTGTGCCGTAATATTGAGACACGAGAATATTCCTAGCATGTCTGAAATTGGGGTCCATCATTGGGACCAAAAATACCTTCACGGATCGGCAACAATTAAAGCCTATCGATTTAAATTTCGAGCGTCCTGTGGTGATCAGGAATCCTCGTCCCAATATGTTACTTGCTAAATTGTCCAGCTGTTAGCAAGTGTACCATTTTGGCGGTACACTCTATACGTTATTGTTAGTATTAGTTACCGGTAACCTGAAAATTATACACCAGTTGTCAGTATAAAACCGTCAAAGCCATTTTATATAATAGCGTCAGAACCTCAGGGATTAATAGCTATAGATTAGCCTGTATCTGCTGGTGATCAATTATTGGATATTGGATTGTTTGTGGAGTGGTGACGGTAGACGCGAACCATCATGGAGGGGGGGGTGGTGGTGACCTGAGGCCAGATTCACGAAGCTGCTACGCAAGTGCTTACGAACCTGTCCATCTTTTCTTAATCTTTAACGGTTTTGTTTTACAGTTATTTAACAGTTAATGAGCTCCAAAGCACCAGGAGGCTGTTTATAACAATAACAACAGTTGATTGGGAAGTATTCATGCTTGTAAACTGTTTAATAAATGTAACCAAAGCCGCCAACGATTGAGGAAAGATATACACGTTCGTAAGTACTTGCGTAACTGCTTCGTGAATCTGGCCCCCTGGGTCGTGACCTGGCTCAAGGGTGGAGGTAAATTGAAAGTGGGTGAACGAGAGGCACTTATACATCCTCATTACTACCCAATTAGTTAATTAATTTTGTATTTTCTTTTTAAGCTTACGTATAAAGCAGCGTGCTGCTACTCCCTTCTACGTGAGGTTTAGAGCATAATATCCCCACCCACAGAATGATAGGTAATGTATGGGGTAGCTAGACTAGTTTACTTCGCCTAATCGTGAGGGGTTTTCTTGAGATGATTTCGGGGCTTTTTAGTGTCCCCGCGGCCCGGTCCTCGGCCAGGCCTCCACCCCAGGATGCAGCCCGTGACAGCTGACTAACACCCAGGTACCTGTTTTACTGCTAGGTAACAGGGGCAT